AGGTGTAGAGCTGGATGAACGCAGCAGGCCAAGCAGCATCAGAGCAGGAGGAAGGCTGACGTTTCGGGCCTAGACCCTCCTTCAGAAATTATTGTACTGCACCTTGTCTGAGACTGGCTGCTGACCAATGTTGGTTGATAAAGTGGCTTTTGAGACCTGCTGTTTCTTGGTCTGTATTCCCTTTTTCCACACTCTCCAGCAGTGATCCTATTCAATGGCAAAGCAGGCTTGAGGGGCTGAATGGCCTGCTTTTTTTTTTCTTTGTTCCTATTTCTGTGGGCTAATCTTCCTTGGGGATGTGGGCCAGTATCAGTCAGTAACAACCTCTTTTTAATGCTGGGGCATTGCTAGAACAGCAATAATGTTGTTACTGCTGGGTTCAGTTGGTTGTGAGAAGCAACAAATGGTTCCTCCCTTCCAGAAAATGCATTATAGGGTATGAACCTGTTAACTTGTTTTAAACAAACAGAAAATTTGATTGGCATTAGTTTCCTTTTGTAGTCAGGGTCAAGCTTCTCAAGTCCCTTGTTTCTTCTCCCAAATTTGACTGCAGTTTTTAAAATGGATGTTAGTCTCCTTCGAAACAGCAGTGGTGCATGTCACTGTAGCCTTCTGCCTCAATAAAGCCTTGCATGTATTCATTGCCTCTCAGAAGTATCAGCTTCCCAATGTTTTGTATTTTAATTCCATCAGGTGCACAATGTCTGCTGCCACTGAGGTATGGCACACTGAAGACTCTTCTCCTGGGGAAGTCTGCTCTTATGTGGAAAACCCTGATGGGAGCTCAGTTGGAGGTCTGGAGTGTACTATCTGCTTCAGTTCCTATGACAATGTCTTCAAGACTCCCAAGCTGCTGCAATGCCAGCATGTCTTCTGCTTGGAGTGTCTGGCCAGACTTGCAGCAAGCATACCAGCTGACCAGTCATCTGATATCGTCTGCCCGCTTTGCAGGAGCCAGACGGCATTGCCTGACAATGGGACCCCTGCCTTAAAAACAAGTCAGGAGCTACTCTCCCAGCTCCCACCTCAGCTGCAGCTTGAAGAACCAGTATGGTTGGAAGGCAAGAAACTGTGCTGCAAGAACTCAAAAGAGCCTGGTAATTCTGACTTTTGTATCTGTATTGACATTGGTGAAACGAAACAAGAAAATTCAGCTCCTGCCACATTGACAGACAACCGACTACTGAATTGCTTTGGCCTCTTTCGTGACTGGAAGAGACTGGTGCTATTTATACTGGTACTCATAATTTTCCTTGGCACTGTGTTATGGCCACTCCGATGTGCAATTACCACACAAAATCTAACCTGTGCTCGTAAACCTCCTCCAACATCTGCCCCTATCAATACTACAATATAATCTTGGGAGGGCAAGTGACTTTATTTTTAAATGTAGAGCTGGTGCATTGTATGACACTGGACGTTTTGCTGAACTTTGAATTACTTGACTGTGAACCTTCAACAAAACTTTCATAGAGCCAAACACTGCAAGAAATAATATCCAACTTTACTATAAGGTTTTTGGTTCTAGGACCAGCAGAGATTGTATGCTAAATCTTAATTGCTTCACAATGCACTAGCGTGTGGCTAACAAAGAAACTTTTATCAAATGGTGACAGTCGTGCAAATGAGGACCCTAAAGGTTTAATGAGAACATCAACTGGCCTTTTTTTTTTGTTTTTTTGTTTAAACAAATTTTGTCAATTATCTGCAGTTTCTTTTTAAAGAAAAGCAAAAACAATGAGTCCAGAATACTTGCTGGGAAATGTTTGACGTTCACTTTTTTAATAGAAATATGTAAGCACTTGGTGAAATATTGTGGTTATGTAAAGCACTTCCTTTTATGTCACTCGGTGATTTTATGTACAGCTTTCTCAATTAGGTAGGAAAAGCTTTAAATGTTACAAAAGTTCACTTAACAATTCGCTGCCTAATCAGCAAAGTCAATGACTAGTTTGTGTCTGTTGAGCACTTTTTTTTTTTGTTTTTTGATCAACTGGTTAACTTGAAAATGACTTCCACTATAGTTCACTCTAATGCCTCTTTGGCAATGACCAAATCCCCTCCCTCAGGAAGGGATTGGTTAAAATCTGGTGGGTTAGATCTAGCAATATGCCAATTTTAAGGGTTTATACGTGTACTGTGGTCTCAATTTGTTGCATGTGCTTTTCTTGCCCTTTTATGTTTGTATAAACCTTTCCCAAAATTCAATATAACCAGCTAAAGCAGCATGTATAGAATCCACTGGTGCTAGAAATATAAAATCCTCTTCCTTATCTATTCCAATTCTGAATCAACAATTGGTCTTTTGCACTGGAAATGTAAATAACCTTCTTGTTTTTGTCACCTATTTGGCACAAGTGCTTACTCTTATCCCAGCTGCAATAATGGCTCCACCATGATTCGGCTTAGTGTCAGTATCTGAAGTGTCTGGGATCTCTTTACCAATCCAGTGTAAATCAGCCCTTGACACTTGAATTAATCCCTTTTATTTTTATTGGAAACATGTACAGTAACCACTGTCCTTTAGGACATTATCAAATAGCTTTCCAAAAGTTATATTTATGTATTTGGTTTGTTAAAGGCTCCTCCATTACTAAAATGTGGTCTTTATATTGCAACATTTACTATTAATAGTGACTGCTAATCTCTCTTCAATGCGAGATTATTACATCCCCTGAACTGCTTCACAATGAAGCTCTAGAACCGCAGTACGTTTTTCTGTACAATCTCAAACACGACATAACAGCTTTAAGGACATTGTAACTGTGTATTTTTTTGAATTGTATTATACAATATCTGTACTCTGCTAGACTTGGGATCAATTTTGAGCTGGGTCTTTGTGATTCAAATTATGCAAATTTTAAAAGCGAGAGAAAACAATACCTTTTTTAAAATGAACAGAATCTTAAAACGTGTTAGTTTGCAACTAATTGGGTTGCTAATTCTTAAATTTGAGTATCGTAACTTTGTGTAAATGAAGGACATAGCACAATTTCAATAAAGTTTTTTTTTTAGGTTTTTCATTTTCTGCCTCTTAAGATTCTTTTAAAATGCTATTTAAACTAAATGGTTTAAGATTTTAAAGCCTTACTGATTTTTTTTTTCAATCCACCTGTTGTCTTGCCAAACTATTGGTTAATGCAGTCTTAGACCGGAAGCTGGAAAACAAATTAAAACATTTTGTCTCTTGCTTCATAAGCCTTCTCCATGCATCTCCTGCACGACCAAGTATTACTCAGAACAACTTTGTTCTAAACAAGAAAATGACTGCTAATTCTCTACCGATCTAATATTATTTGCATGCGTGTGTGTACAAATGACTTGCTACAGAAAAGTAAGCAATTTTAAGTTAATGTTTGGAGTACTTTGTCAATACAAATTATTCCTCATGCATTCCAAGGTCACCTGTTTAGTGAACATTCAAATGTATGAAACAGCTGAAAGCCACTCTACCTTTTCTCCCCAAATGTTGAAGCAAATTGAGTTAAAGTCAATTGTATTGAAATCATGCAAAATCTTTAAGGGTGTGGAGGTGAGAAAATTAAAAGTCTTCCTGAGGATTTTACATTTTGGTACACATGATGTAATGCAAATTTTGCAGTTACTTCTAATCCCTGTATACATGATGGCTTTTACAAAAACTAGTTCTCCAGGTATGTTATTCTGCAGCTAGGAACTGAAATGCTGCCACAACAGGAATACAGTGCTGTGCAGATTTCTAGGTCTGGTATGCTCTGAACTAATCCAGTTGTTACATTTGCTAGTGGGCCAAGAATGAGAACAAACTATATATATTTTGCAAATCACCCTTGCAGGTGAAACTAACTTTTGTTTTTATACTCCATGTTTTTAATGTTAATTATAGTTTTGTACCTTTTTTCCCTTCTGGCCACCATGTGAAAGTGTAACTTGCTACCTTCCCCATCCCCACCCCACCACTGCAGGGCCTTCTCTATGCATCCCTCCAACCCAGGTTTCCAATGGGGCTAAGTATCTTCTTCACACAGAAGTACTACCTTTTTTAGCATCCCCCACCTCCACTGGAGAAGAGTGAAAGCAGGAGGATGCATCTCACTGGACAGTATGGCAGGACTGTTCCAGAGCAGCCCATGCAGGAAGTCCCTCTGCACAAACTAGTGTGGAGGCAACGAAGAGGTGGCTGGGTTACAAAGCAAATTCTCACGGGTAGAGATCAAGCTAGACTGATGTGACTATAAAGCAGATGGAGCAATGTAACTGACATCTCTGCCAGATGTAGTTTCAGCACGTGGCTAGCTACAACAATAGGCTGGACATCCGTTACATGACTGACTGACTGATTTTACATTGGCAGCTAACGCTACTTCTGCGCTTCTCCGGCAGGTCTTGCAAGGACTTGTGTTCCCACCCATGCAAATGTCTGACTGTTGCAACGATAATTCAAAAATTGCCATCAATTACTTATGCATTTTCCTTGACCATCCCCACAAACACATTGGTAGCTTGAGGGCACAGTTACCAATGGCTGAACAATTAAATCTTTTTAAACTTGATGCCCATTGTGCAATGGGCTGTGGGGCATTCTAATGAGATGGTGTTTTGGTTTGGCAGTTACTTTTGTACTCCCAATGAGGACCGATGACTGACTTCACTGTGGTATCTGCTCAGTGTCCTGCATGACACTGAAACCTTGCAATTTTGAGAAGCAGTTAATATTGGCTCTGACTTTTATTATAGTTAAGGTGTGCCCAGGATCTCATGTTTGTAATTGAATTGGCAAACAGAAGCCAGGGTATATGTTACATATTCACTCTTAGTTTGTACACTGGTACATCTTTTGGTCTCTTAAGATAGCAATGAGTGCCTATTGTGGCAATTTATATCATCCCACACTGGGCTATTCAATGCCATTGTTCTTCAATTTAAATTGTATTTAAAACTCAGTCTACTGAACATCTATACGCTGAATATTTTATAAACTATAGGCACTGGGAAACTCACTTTCATGAACAAGAATTCTTTATTTGAAATATGTTTTTAAAATGACCTATTTAAAAGCTGCAAGAGTGTCTGTTAAATGTAGAGAAATTGCATCCGAGTAGGCTGGTTCCCTGTTCACTTCAGGGTTTAAACATTTTTTTGTAATATGAGCAGAGACACCTGGCATAATGATGGTTTGAATCCAAGCTTGGGTAAATGCATTGAAATTTTAGAAATGTAACAAAAATGCTGCCACCACCTACTGGATAATGAGGGATAGGTAGTAAATACTGAATCTGCAACTTGTGGGTGGAAAAAATTTAAACCAGGTTAGGAAGAGTTTCCAAAAGCTGGGCTGGGATACCTGAAGGATGTTGGAGAATAATTGGAGCCCAAGACTGGAGACAATTTTCAGACTAGTGTGTGTGAGGCTGTTTATGTACTTTGTGCTGAGGATATGAATTTAAAATTTCAGTGCTAAATAAAATGCGAAAGAACTGCGGATGCTGTAAATCAGGAACAAAAACAGAAGTTGCTGGAAAAGCTGTTGTTAAAATTCAACGCGTTGTGTAGACCCTGATCACAGTGAAGACTCACATAGCAAAATGTTGCAGTGTGTCATTCAAGATATTGAGACTTATTCTTGAAATAACAGTTCAGATATTTAACATATTTTCTCAATTATTTGTAATCGATCATGTGAAACTTTTTTTCTCCATTTAAAAATGGAGTCCACAGGCAGTGTGATCAATGCCATTCCTGTGACCACAAAGGACCCTGGTCTGAGAACTCCTCCAATAAAATCTGGTTATCAACTTGAGACAGGTCCTTAATAGAATATTCCCGGATTGTTATCAAATGTCAATGCTGCTTCTAATTTTAACACTGCTGGTGAGCATCCACAGGTCTGGCAGCATCTGTGTGGAGACAGAAGCTGGGTTGATGTTTCAAACCGAGTGGTTCTGATGATGGGTCCCTGAACTTAACAATTCTAACACTCTCTTCCTCTACAGATGCTTCCAGACCTGACCAGTCTCTCCAGCACTCTTGACTTATTTCAGATCTCCTCCAGCTGCAGTTTTTTATTTTTTCTTTGTTACTGCTTCTAATTTACATGAATATTTTTAAATTCCAAAACTCAATGTAAATTGGTCAAACTTGGAAAAGTCAAACTGTAAACTTGAACTCGGTTAATATTCTAAATAAAAACCGAAAGAACTGTGGATGCTGTAAATCAGGAACAAAAACAGAAGTTGCTGGAAAAGCTCAGCAGGTCTGGCAGCATCTGTGAAGGGGAAAAAAAGTTAATGTTTCGGGTCCGGTGACCCTTCCTCAGAATTTTAACTCTTGCTATTTCTTTATTCCTGCACTTACTCTCATTCTAGCAATGCCTCGACTTTATATTTTTTTAAAATCTCCCTGTGACCTGGGACCTCCCTAGCTGCGTGAACCTCTCCAATATTGTAATCCTCCATGACCTCCTGCATTGCCCATTGTTTCTTGGTCACCCCAGTTTTCTTTCCTCCACTATTAATCTGAAACTCTATCTCCCCAAGTGCTGCCAGACCTGCTGAGCATTTTTAGAATTCCTATTTTAGTCTAGGCAATAGCAGCTGTTTTCCTTCTGTTGAAAGACATTTGTGAAACAGTAGGTTTTTTTTTAAAATGATCCAAAACAACCCAGTGGGACACTGCAGGAGCAGCCCAGAGCTGATCCTGACGGAGACCCAATCTGCTCTTCCTCCAACACCGGTTATACCAAAAGTTTCTCAGCAGCTTCTGGGTCTCTTGTCAGTGTCTGGCTCTGATCCTGGTCCCAGGAAAGGAGTTCAGCTGCTTACTTTGTGTCTCCCACCCAGGGACAGGGAGGGTTGGAGATCCGGGGGGGGGAGCTGTCCCTCATCACCTCAAGCATGTTCCTTTCCTTTTATTAAAAGGAAATGGTGTTTTCTATCTGGGATTGTCAAAGTACTGGGACTTCCTTGTTTATAAAGGGATCTTCATCCAAGATGGAGGACAGGAAAATTGTGGCTGTAAGAGCTGCTTTCTTTTGAGGTACTTTGTTAGAGCTGATCTTCCTCATTTTAGGAGTAGTAATTATTGTTTTATAAGCTGTTGCATTGTTTTTGAACTTTTGGGGGTGGGAGAAAAGATCAAAACAACCTGCTTTTTTTTTAAGAAAAAGTGCTGAAGGGAGACAAAGGCAGTGACCACATGGTGGGAAGTGAATCAATGGAGAAAGAAACCTACACTGTGACCCAGCAGTGAGCCTTCACAGTTACCGCCTCTGCTGTTTTGACTTCAAGTACCTCTGGACACTGGAGTTCAGGGGAAAAATAGCAAAATTCACAGCTGATCGGAGCAGGGGAGCAACTAAGTGGCCAGGGTTTTGTTTTTGTTTCTAAATCTATAGTGAGTAGAGTGAATCAAAATGAAGCCAATGTTTTTGAGATCTGTCATTTAACATTTTAAAAATGAAATGTGAGTACTAGCTTAGCTTGGAGCAGTGTTTTTACAGCACTAAGACCTGTGTGTGTGCTATTTTTCTGGGTGTGTAGATTAAGGTGCAAAGATGGTCCTTAGTAGACTTGTGCTCTTCCTGTCGGATGTGGATGATTAGGGAGAGTTTCCATGGTACTGATGATTACATCTGCAGATAGTGTGCTTGGTTGCAAATCCGGCCAAATGGTATGGATTGGTTGGAGCTGCAGTTAGAGGCAATGAGGAATTTACAGAGGGGTGAGTTGGATGGCAGTTGCAGGAAGGGAAATAAACCAACGATACTGTCAGGTAGAGGGTGATCTCCCAAGAAAGGTAAGAGGGGTAGGTCGGTAGTGTAGGAGTCTCCTGTGGCCATCCCCATCTCAAACAAGTATGCTCTTTTGGAAAATGTAGGGGGTGACAGACTTGTCGGGGGAATGTAGCACTGACAGCCAGGTTTCTGGTACTGAGACTGACTCTAATGTAACAAGGGGTATGTCAGGTTCCAGGCGATTTGATTGATTGTGATAATGGACAGTTTGTGTGGCTGATAGCAAGACATCAGAATGGTGTGTTGCTTCCC